GCCACTCGAAAGAATCCGATTCTTTTTGTTTTGTTTTTCGTCTTTTGGGTTGTGGAATATCAGGAATAACGAGTTCGATGTCACTTTCTGAACTGTCATGGTTTTTCTCACTATCACTGCACGTCGGTTCGCAAATATTTTCCCACCCGTTGCTCTTCCCTGATTTAGCATCAAAACTTTCGTCTGAATCACTGTTAAAAGCAAGTTCTAATAATTATTTTTTAGACAAACCCTTTTTACAAAACATATTGTGAAAAACGTGCAAATACAATGCATCTGCCTACGAAGTTATGACTTCACTGACGCAAAATCAACAAGTATCGACCCGTATCCGAGCTAGTAAGAATCGTTTTTGCAATCCCCACTATTGATATTTTGCTGGATATGTGAATGATCACAGTCAAGTTATCCATATACTGATTAATACGTTTTCCGTCTCGAAGTGCATCCTCTGTCCCTGCGGACTTATACGTCTCCCGAGTATCGGACTCGTTATGATTTCGCGGATATATCAGTTTTCCGTTACGAAAAGGTTAAGTTACCAAGGCACTGTTGTGCTGTGTTGTTTTCTGGATCATATTGTGAGTATCTTGAGGTGGTTAGCATTATTTCTTCAGATCTTCTCATAACTTTTCTAGTTAATGTTCCTCTAACACATTCGGTTATTTGAGCAATGTACCTTCTCCTGTGGATATTGTTGTCAGTTCTTCTATCAAGCGCGGCCCCCTGAAAATGGAGAATGCTCTCTGGATATTCTTAGAACCAATACCCAGAGTGTATCAGGATTACCTGCCCTACCGTACCTTATTATTATTATTATTGTTGTTCTGAAGCTATTTTCTTGTGGCATTGTGAATTAATTACTATTTATAACTGGGAATAAGCCACAATTAAAGATAAAAACACGTTTATTGACGTTTCAATTTCCTATTCTGAAATCGTTCTCAAAATACAAACAGTAAATTAAACAAATTTTGTTTTTTGTTACATCGTGAAAAATTTTTCTAATAATTTAATTTTATCTGACTCATTTATATTGACAATTCAGACATATATTATGCATTTTAAAGTAGACGATTTTAAAATGATATTGCCAATATTGTTGAGTTGCGCTCCTGGGACGACTTTACTTATAAGATAGTTCATTCAAAAAAAAAATCATAGCATGTAATTCGTCTTTAAAAAGACAAACACATGACGTGATGACAGTAAAATTCTCCTGTTAGTGATTCCATAGTAAATTATGAGGGAAAAACCAAGAAAAAAACCTCATAATACTATCTCGACATTGTAAGTATTTGTTCGTGAATTTAGTTTACCTTCAACAAACAAAATCAAAATTCTGATTTTATATGTTATATGGTAGTCAATAAAATCAAGGAAAAACTATTCTATAATATATAACAAAATATTACTTTCGTATAACGTTAAGTTGATAATGTTACGATAATTTTAAGAACCAAATAACTAAAATACTAACCAAATTTCCCAAGAGGATGGCATGTGAAAGACAGGCCTAGTGTATATTCTGGATCTTTCGGTTTGATACATAAATAGTAATTTCGCAAATACGACAGTATTTTCTAATTTTCATTTTTGTGCGTTGATAAAAACTAAACGCATCTTCTTGGTCATCAATATCACTTTAACAGTCAACGTAGTACACGAACCGAAGGCTCGAGAAGGCGACGAAAAATAATTTACGATCTCGGAGAGAAATAAAAGTTTGTATCAGTCGTCGCGTCGGCCGTCGATATCAAACAGACGCTCGATAAAGGGGTGACACCGAGGCCTACTTTACGAGATCAAAGAAAAACTTCCGTGTCACCGGCTTTCTTTTCTCTTCTCGGGGGTCGCAAGAGTAGAGTAAAGTATCCGGTAAACTAGAACTTTATAACTTTTGTTGTTTAGCTTCCGAGATTCCTGAAGAGAATTAGCTTGATGTCTCGGTGTCACCTTTTTCCAGCACTAATTTACTGCCTCGTTAATTACCTCGAGTAATTAGCCTACCTTATTAAATATTAACACGGTGTTATGATTTGGGCATTTTAAAAGAAAATTTTCGTTATAACTCAAGTTGATTGTGACATTTATGGATTTTAATTAAAGAAACAAAACTTTGGTTTTGTTGCTATTTAAGTTTTCGTACGAATAATCAGTGTATTTAAATATACTCAATAGTATTTATTCGTAGATTGTTTCTTTCTTCACCAACATTCCCACTGATGAAACAATTTTCATCTTGAACTCTAAACATCAATTGCCCCAAAACCCATTTTCTCTTATAAAACACTGCATGTCTAATGCATACTTTTCATTCCAAAATCGTTTCTATCGTCAAATCAAAAGTATTCCAATGGGATCCTCCTTCTTGTTCGTAACTGATATGTACATGAAACATTTCGAAACAACAGCCCTGTCCTTATTAAATCTCAAACCCACCTGCTGGTTACGGTTTTTTGATGACACTTTTGTCATTTAGCGCTATGTTAAAGACTCATTCGATCTCTTCTTCTCCCTTTCACCTAAATGGAATACATTCCAGTATTCAATTCACGATAGAAGTTTAGTCTGAAGCGTCTTTAATATTCCTTGATGTTCTTATTTAAAAAAAAAAAACATCTCACAGTTTTTTCTATTCTGCGTACCAGAAAGCCAACCGTACAAACCGTTATTTTAATGCCCAATCACCTCAACACCCTGCCCAACTTAATTCAGTCACAGATTATCCGAAATCAATTCAATAAGGTAAACTTTCTTACAAAATGACTAGTACAAAACCGATCCCACTTAGATCGCATACTGAGGGTATAAAAACAGCTACACAGGGTAAAACCAGTTGTTAGTCGACATCGAGAAGTTGGTAGATTTAAACCTCAGTTCTGTTTAATAATTCTTATATTTGTGGAGAACAAGATACTGATACATAGGGGAGTAGGCAGGTTGAGACTCCACACTGGAAAGGAATCATATATCTCTTGATATTGGCTTTAAAATGGTTGCCGAAACGTCGAGTTTAAGAAAAAGGTTAATGTGAGTTGATAGTAAAATAAAGGTAAAAGGTATCGGCATAGCTCGCAATAAAGACAAAAAAAAATAGAAGAAGCATAGAAGTTAGAAAAGAAGCATATTTACTTGGCTGCACCTGAAGACGACCAATAGTCAGAAATACGTATATACGGTTACCTTCCATCTTATACACATATTTTATTATATTTTTTTTTCCTTTGTTGCGATGCTATGCCGATACCTGTTGTAACATTTTTTTTATAATTAATATATTAAATTATTTTTAATTCCCTTTACCCCCGTGCTGATACGCTCATGGTCAGTTTATCAGAGACAAATTTTTTATTGAACCTATCGACTACCTCAAAATACGGAATAACCGACTAAGTGTACACCTACATTGGAACCGTATTTCTCCCGATCCGATATCTGGGGACGTCGGCCGACGTCGGATTAAAAACAAACTCAAGGTATTAAATCAGAGTGCCTATACTGCTTCGTCATGGAAGCAGTATAGGCACTATGATTTAATACCTTGAGTTTGATTTCAATCCAACGTCGGCCGACGTCTCCCGATATCGGATCGGGAGAAGTACGGTTCCAATGTAGGTGTACACTTATTAAAAACGACGGTTTAGGTAATCCTCGATTAATTACTTCCGGCTATAAGGTCGGGTTCCTTTATGATAAATTTGATAAATATCAAAGCAAGAGCTATTCAATCCATTTGAACGAAATTTAGCACACATTTTACTCGTATTTTAAACTTTTTCCAAATGACATATAAAGGCTGTAAGTTATACTTAATGGTCGAAAAAATTAAAGGAAAAACTCCAATTTTTGGCAATTTTTCCCAAATATTCCTATTTTTAAACAACAAACAATAAATTTTTCACTTTTTACTAGTCAAATATGTAATATTAAAAAACAAACTTTTACTCTGCATTTTTTTTTTTAGTAAGAGCAATAACTCTCAAGTTATAGACAAAAATATGGGCGCAAAAAGCAAAAATTTTCGATTTTTTTCAGATTTTGTTAAATAAAAAATTAAGCACAAGGTTTACAACTGGCGCATTTAGTGATTATTGATACTGTGACGAGTAACTCTTTTAGGGAGCAGACTCAGTAAAACCAAAAATTGCTAATGATCCTACTACACACAAAACACATTTCTTCACTAAAAACTGCCTACTCACAAACTTAAGCACAATGACTTTGCTCCTACCACATCATTCCACTTGACATTGACGGGTACTAACTGATTTTTCATACCATCTTTCTATCAGTTAGCCCTAGACTCCAACACAGATCAGAGGTAATGTGTCGATAAAACCTCACCAACTACAGGGGGTCATATAAGATGCCCCCAGCTTCATTTTTTAATATTACACAATATAAGAGTCTATTGCATTTACCTGAATAAATAACATGAAGATTATTTTTTAAATCCAGATGTCCATTGAATGTTTTTTATGTGGCCACACAATGTTTTTCAACAACTTTTTATGTAAGTAGTAAAAAACCAACTTGTTATTTTTGTATATTCAAATTTTAACTTTCTTGTTTTTAATATTGGTATTTTTACTCTCTCTTTTAGTAAACTGATGATGGAATGATACAATTCCGAAAAGATCTTCTTTATAATAAAAAATTTTAAGCTTTAATAAGCGCTTTTTTTATACCTTAATACACACGAACACCACGTGCTATGTATTCAACAGGTATACTAGCCACTCCTGGATATCTCCACTTCATGGTTTGTTTCAGTTTCACTTTTTAAAAACAAAATATTTTATTTAAAATTTTTAACCCTGTTTAATACTGTCCACAATGTTTTAATATCATAAACAATTCGAATATTATGCTTCCTATCTAAAAATTACGAAATATAAAGAAGGACATGGCATAAAAGAAATAAACTCATTAAAATACAAAGTACTGATAAAATTTTTAGTGATGTCTTTTAAGCAATCGTGTCTTTTTAATTTTAGGCCTGGTACGATTACAAGCTTAAATGGGACCCAAAAGATTATGGTGGCGTCGAGATGCTTCACGTTCCATCGGATCACATATGGAGACCAGACATTGTCCTATACAACAAGTAAGTCGATTAAAATATTTTATATTTAGCATTGTGATATTATTTTTTGTATCTGTTAATTCATTTAAGCCATTTATTTAATTGCATTAAAAACTGTTTTTTGAAAAAAGTGATGAGGCAAAAATTTTTTAAAAATAAATGTGTTAAACTAATGATGCCACCAAATTCATTTGATTTGAACCAATTTTCAATAGTTTTTGGACTTTCCACAAGAAGAGATTTTACCGAGACTTGCAGAAGTAACTTCAGATGTAAAAGAAATTGGGTTTCAAATGGATTGAGAAATTTCTTTAAATATTTGTTTGATTGGACCTAACTGTAGCATTAAGAGACCTCCCAGATCAAAAGATCTGTAACTTATATTTGCTTATTGTTACATTCGTGCATGTGTGAGTTCAAGTTTATGCTTGAAACAAAAAATGCCGAATCTCTATTTCGATTCATTTTGACCCATTTATATTTATTTTATTAAGTTCGACCTAAGTAACTAAAAGTAATAATCAATAACCTTCAGACGTCAGTTTAGACATTTTCAATTTTCAATTAATAATTTTAAATACAGAGGTCGCTCTCGGATTTATTTCCGTATATACGAGCTTCCTCTTTCATTTTACTTCAAAAATGTAAGTCAAAAACAGCTGTTGTCATTGCTGTATGTGGTAACCATGTTTTATAAAAAAATTTTGATGTGAATTATACACATGTATAAGGGTTAGACCCAAGATCTGTGGCCTACAGAGCCCGATCTTTGTTTTTTAATATGTCGTTTGTCCACAATTTTCCTTCTATGAAGTATTTATTGCCTAATTGACGTAAGTTTTTTTTGTCATTGTATTTTATATAAAAAAATTACTTAACTTAACGTTATATAAGGATAGCTCTGATGATGACATTTATTATGTCGAAAGTATACTCAGCTTAATTAATAAATTATTTTACACACTATCAGTTTTATTAAAAACATACAAAACCTGCTTACCAGTTAGAGATATTGAATAAGTTGTGTGTCATTGCTCATCAAATCATGCAATTCCACAAAAGTGCGCTTAAAATAGAACCTTGTGAATCCTCTAGTAATGTTCTTTTGGACCATGTAAAACAATATGATGATCTCACAAAATATTTTTTTATTCGCAAACAAATACAAAATATTTGTAGATACTCTTTTATTAAAACCAATTGCCACAATTTTTGATTATATTATTTTAAAATAACGCCCTATAGGGTCCACAAAAAGGCATAACATGTATTTATTTTTTGGCAGACACAATTATGCGTCTGTAACTAAATGGGAGATTTCATTAATTGTACATGTTTAATTCTAAATTTTATAACCCTTTTGAAAATTTTTGTAATACTCAATCATAATAAAATATGTCGGTAGAACGACGTAAAGTCAGGTTGTTTCCTAGGTTTTACTAAAAGACAGGAACTCGAAGCAGAGGATGAAGCCATTTTTCAAGAACTTTTTTACTAAGGCTTTTGTCTAATTGTGGTTTTTTTTATAATATTTATTGCCAACATATCTTACAGTATTCTATCTCTTAGTCAAAAGAGTACTTTTATTTAATTTATTTAAAAATGTTTTCCCACTTTTTTTGTTTAAATTTGAAACTTCCAAAAAAAGAAAGAGCAATGGAAGGTGTAGCAATAATGATCACAACAAAATACAAAGATCAAATTAAGGAGTGCCAGTACATATCTCAGTACGAGAATACTTGTAGTAAAAATTAGGGCGAACAGCAAAATTATTAACATAATAGGGATATATGCACCAGAAGAGTGCAAACCTGACAGCTATAAAGAAGAATTCTATGATGAGCTACAAACATTAGTAGAAAGATAGAAGTAGAGCAGAAAGTAAAGCAAAATGAATTACTTATATTATTGGGAGATTTCAATGCCAGAATAGGAGATGAAGTAATAGCAGGAATAAAATAAAGGTTTGACGAAAGAGTTATCAATGAAAACAGAAAGGGAATGGTGGAATTCTGTACATCAAACGAACTAAGACTAACCAACACATTTTTGATCATAAAATTCAACACAAATACACGTTTGAAAATACAAGAGGACATAGATCAATGATAGATTATGTGGTCACAAACAGAAATATTCACCATAAACAGATAGTGGATATGAGAACTTTAACGTCACCCAATGTGGGAAGCGATCACTATTTGGTACTTGGTAAAATTAGATTCAATGAAAGATGGAAAGAGAAGCTTAAACAAACCAATTCAGAGGAAATAATAAAAATAGTAAATTTAAGAGATGACTCCATAAAATCATTATATCAAAAAAGGCTAGAACAGAAAATACAAATGGAGGATATCGAAAATGTAAGCAATGTAGAGACTAGCTGAAGTAAACTTTTGCTGAAGCTGGAGAAAAATATTCTGGATGCTGCCCAAGAAGCCCTTGAAACGAAAATAATAAACAAAAAGTGGTCAACGAAAACACCATGGTTTACACTAGAGGTTAAATAAAAATGTCACCAAAAAAAGAAAGCTTTCCTAAAAACTAAGTCAGAAAAACTAATGAATCATATGAAGAATATAAAAGAATAAGAACTGAAACTCATCAATTGGTAAGAAAAACAAAAACAGATTACTGGGAAAGATTCACAAAAGGACTAGAGATGGATTTCTATGGACAACAGAAACAAATATGGCGCTTCATAAGACAACAAAGAAGCGAAATGAAAGAACTAGTTAAAATAGAACACATACAAGAGGATACATGGGTAGCCTTCCTGACAGAAATGTTTAAAAACAAAACGAAGAACCTTTTCCAGAAACGCCAAATATAATAACTGAGGAAAAGACCGAAATCTCCCAAAACGATGTGAAAGAAAAAATAAACAAATTAAAAACCAGAAAGTCACCAGGAGAAGATCAAATACCAAATGAACTCTTTAAATATGGAGATGATTACCTTGTACAACAACTGCAACTTCTTACTAATAAAATAATCACCACGAACAGAATACCAGATGAATGGAGGAGAGCGATCATGTTGATGTTTTTTAAAAAAGGAAATAAGAAAGACCCCAATAATTATCGAGCAATAAATTTTTTAAATACAACACTCAAATTGACAACAAGAATAAAGCAACAAAAAAAAAACGATTAAATATATCTGCAAGAGGAACAGCAAGGATTTCAGACAGGAAGATCATGCACGGATGCAGTTTTTGTAATAAGACAAATAAAAGAAAAGACGTTGGAATACAACAAACCAGCATATATGTGTCTGAAAGATTTGAAGAAAGCGTTTGATAGAATGAGAATTCGGGACGCGATACATTTATTATATGAAAGGGAATATCACTGGATTTAGTAAAAACCATTGAGAATATATATAAAGATAACATAGCTATGACAAGATGTAAAGGAAAACTATCGCAACCTATCAAATATGAAACTGGCATTAGATAAGGAGATTCGCTGAGCCCATTTATATTTAATCTGATAATGGATGAAATTATAAAGAAAGTTAAAAAAGAAGAGGATATAGAATAGGAGAAAAGGAAATAAGGATAATATGCTACGCTGACGACGCCATAATAACAGCCGAAAATGAAGATGACCTACAAAGATTAATTAAAGAATTCGAAGATACGGCGCTCATATACAACATGGTGATCTCAACAGAGAAAACTAAAACGATAGTGATATCAGCGGAACCGAGACGATGTAAACTAGTCGTAAATAACAAAATAATAGAACAAGTGATGGAAACTGAATACTTGGGAATAAAACTGTCAAGCTACGGAAAAGTGGAAGAAGTACAAAAACAAGTGAACATGGCAAACAGAGCAGCAGGATATCTCAACAACACAATCTGGAGAAACAAATACCTCACAACGGAAACGAAAACCAGGATATATAAATCAACAATAAGACCGATAATGACGTACACAGCGGAAACAAGAGCAGATACGGCGAAAACACAAAGACTGCTGGAAACAACAGAAATGAAAGTCTTACGAAAAATAACAAACCAAACTCTAAGAGACAGAGTAAGAAGTGAGGAAATACGAGCGAGATGTGGTATAGAGGAAATAAACGCGTGGACCAAAAGAAGAAAAGTGGAATGGAATCAACACATCGAAAGAATGACAGAAAATAGAATAGTACGAATAGCAAGAGACAAATCGCCAAATGGAAGAAGATCATTGGGACGACCGAGGAAAAGATGGTCAGACAACGTCAATTGAGGCTAAAAACCGAAGTAAAACAGGCATTAAGCCTATTTATAAAGTAGGAAGAAGAAAAAGAACTTTGAAAGTACGTTTGAAATTATCGGAAATGTTTTGATAGTGTAGATAATTGATAAAATTGCTTTGTTTTTTAAATTCGTTTTTAGCTTTTTGACAATCGCAGAATATTTCGTATAATAATCTAGCTTGTGTTAAATTTATTTTAAAAATGACAATACTAACATAGAATCTTACAAAATAACAAGATCAATAATTTTAATTAAATATATAATGAAACACTAATTAATATCGAAATACATATTTTTTCTATTTCAATTAAATTGAATTTCAAATTATTCCTTTATCTCCACGGCTTACTTACTTTGATGAAACAGTGTATAAAGCTTACCTTGATCGTTTTGTTCTCCCTGTAAACGCCAACCTATTCATATATTCAAAACCCGTCAACGTCGGGTTGTTTCTAAAACACAACCCGCTGCTTAAAACAACCAAGGTGTGCCTACTTAAACCGCGTTTAAGACGTCGTCACGTCTGTAAAAGCAACCTTCTTTTTACCGTTTTCCTCTGAACTACTTATTTTAATCACCCCCGCAGGGCAAACACCGGGGTTGAGATCCTTTAATTGCCAAGTTGCATTATAAATACAACCGAGCCCATCGGGCTTCATTATTTCCCGCTTTTTAGTTTTTCCCTTCCGAAGAACACTCTTATTTTTTATTTAAAACCGGAGAAAATGGGAAGCGATGAAGATACAGTTTGGGGTAAGTGGGAGTTT